TACCAAAAATGAAGTGACATCCAAAATTAGGCTATTGACGATTACATATTGAAAAAGTGACAATCATAATACGACAAGTTGTGGAAAAATTAAAATGGATATAATTGTTTTCTCTTTTGAACTGTGTACGTTAGACAGTGAGAGATGTATTATTGAATATATCATATAAATAACGGAATAAACACAATTTTAAAACGTTATCTTGTTTATTTAACTTTTACAACTGATTATTAATAGTTTATTTAAAAAAAAAAGACTGCAATATGAAGAAACATCATCCAAGGATCATATAAACAAGAAAAAACAGGTCCTAACCTTCAATTTTGTTATGTTTGTACTGCTGAGACATGGACATTTGAAAATCGTACAATTGGTCTTGGCAAGATATTAGTTAAAACTACACGAATACATTCACTGACATGACCGTCAGAATTGACAAATGTCAAAATTCAACCGGTGCGGTTAAATCCCGGAAATGTCCGAAGTGGCTCGGATCCGTGGGAAACGAAATTGACGTGGTAAAGTGACGCTTCCCGCACGCTAGATCGGTGTGTAATTAAGCATTTTACAGACGGGAGTAGAAAAAATTTTCGGTTACTAAAAGGATTCAAAAAATAAATGTTCACACAAAAAAGTTTTGTCAATTTTTGGTGGAAAACCATTATTTCCGAGCTTACATTTATATGAACTTTTTTCTTTTTTTTTTTTCGATACACCAAGTAAATATCGACTCTCCTGACTTTCACGACAGTGACGTCCCGTTTCGCCAGCTGGATCCCTCGTAATCCGTTTTTACATTTATTACGTCGCAACGCTTCGCGGCAAGTGAATCGCGAACGCTAAACTCCCATCCACGGGCCGCATCAAAATTACAATGGGGCCGGAATCCTGCGGATTCCCGCCGGGGCCTGTCCAGATGGTATTAATTGATGACACGATTGTTTTGTTGGAACAAAACGCGGCAACGTTTCCCGACGGACGTATAATAAATTAACGTTGCGTAGCCTCGTTGTAATTTGTCTTATAATAATTAATATGTTTCCCCCGCGACCGGCGCTGCTGCATTTTTGCCGTCGTCGAAGTACGCCCGGCCCGTCCGATTCAATCCAGTCACGACATAAAATGGCGGTAAAAATCGATGAAATCGAATTTTTCAAAAGTATACACGGTTGGCAACGAATCATATCTCGGCAACGGTAGGTCCTACCCGACCGGCATTGGTCAGAATTGATCAGCGTAAAAAAAAATTTTTTTGGGAGGCCCCGAGAAGTATTTTAAAAAAATTAAGTAATTTAAGTAGGTAATAAAAATAATTTGTAATTTTATTTTAGATTTAAACATCAATACATACGTTTATGAGTTCAACGTTGTTTTGACGTGGGACGCGTCGTCCGTAAAAAAAATACCTCCAAACCGATTCTCCAATTTACTGAAAGCGCCGATGAATCCGAAATTGCTCCGGATGTTTAGAATTTTTTTTTTGCGTCCGTCACTCGTCGGCAACAAAAACTGTGCCCCCGTTTTCAACTATCACGCAAACTTTTTTTAAAGTTCGCGCAAACCGGAGTCGCGATTGAGTTGATTAATACCCGGAACGAACTCTTCCCGTTCGGTCAGGTACCAACGGTTTTTAATGGCACCGATGCATTCTACGGTCAGCGTTTTTTTTTTTATTGCAAATAATGTCCGAAACTGATTGAATTTTTTAATGTTTAACGTTAACGTTTAATGTTAACGTTTAATGAAATTGAGATCTCGGCAACGTCAGATCGAAACAGATCGAATAGTTCTGTGTTCGAAGCAAACACGATAATTTTCGTGAGTTTGCATGTAAGAAAAGTTAAAAATGGACACGATCCGATTTTGGCAGTTTGGGTCTTTTCGTTTCCTACGAAGAAACAAGTGGCAGTTTTGAAATCTCGTCCCCAGATGGAAATTATTGAAACTGAAGGGGACCAGGCAGGGGAACACTTTTTACAAAACTTCTGCGTCGGTTTTTGCTGTGTCAAACTTGCTGACGTTTCGCCAATCATCATGTTGGCTTCCTCAGCGCTTGACTGAAAATGAAGAAGCCGACAGGATGATTGGCGAAACGTCAGCAAGTTAGACCGATGCAAGAAGAACTCAAAAGTTATGTAAAAAGTATTACAGGGCAGGGGAACATTATTTTGGGATTTAAAAAATTTGTTTCTCGAAAACAATACGATTGAAGAATCAGGAAACGCGGGGGACCTAGCGATTGCCTATTTGAAAAAATGCCACTGTTGTTCTTAAGAATTATAACGTCAACACCAGATTTACCACTTGTCCAAAAATCTCTCAACATCTTTGATCCGTCAAGGACAAAATTTCGTTTGAGATACCAGGAGTTTGAAGCATTCTATGCATATGCAGCTAATTTTATAACTTTTGCAGAGAAATTATCATATAATATGTGGAGATATAAACGTAAACATGCTATCAGAGGGAGTCGACAACAACAAGGCTACACTTTTAAATAGTTTGAGATGATATGGACTCATTCAAATGGTATTGCAGCCAACCCGAATCTGTACAAGGCATGGTGTATAGATAACATATTTGCAGATGTTAATTTCCTACAAGTAAAACTAAGAAGCTCATCAATGTAAACCCTTCTGTGAACCTATCGACATACGATACACTCCATGTTCGGTCCTTTTCAAAAGGAAATATTGATTTTTTTGTGTTAATTTAATAAGTGAAGTAGATTGGAGCAATCTTCTTACTAGTACAAATAATTTAGACAAATATTTTGATCATCACGAAAAATTTATTGAAAATTTTCCACCAGGAAACGAACAAAAAAACAATTTTCTTGCCAACTAAGCTGAATTACCCAGGGAAATATCCACGACTAGTAAACATTACTAAGATACAGCTTATAAAACTCGATACCTTCCAATAAAAAAGTACTACAAAAAAAACTCGCTATAAATAAGAAAACCATTAATAACAATAAACTTGCCAATGTCAAAAATCTTAATGAAGAATGTTGGAATGTTGTTAATGAAAACCGAAATAAAACAAAAAAAAGTTATCAAGGTAATCATAAATGAAAATGGTGAAAAAGTTTTGAACGTGAAGCTTTTGAAAGTCTGACGTGCAGTTACTCTCAAAAAACCAAAATGGCTTTCGTATGAATAAATCAACTAGTACTGCTCTTGATCAAGCCATCCTCGGCCCATTTTTTGATCTTAGTAAAGATCTTGCTTGAATTTATAGGCATAAGAGGTTCCGCATCTGACTGGCTGAGTTCGTATCGACAAGAACGCACACAACTGCTTGAGATCGATGGTATTCGCTCTACCGTCCGCTCTGTTAATAAACGTACACCTCAAGGCTCTTGTCTATCACCTACACTGCTTAATATGTTTATCAACGATCTACCGTTAAATTTAGAAAACTTCCACGGGGTACTGTAATACTTTTTGCAAAACTTCTGGATTCCTCCTGCGTCGGTTTTTGTCGACTCGAACTTGCTAACGTTTCGCCAATCATCCTGTTGGCTTCTTCAGAGGTTGACTGAAACTATTTGAGTTTTATAAAGAGCAAAACATGTCCTGAAATTTCAAATAAAAGCGCTGAATCCGTCAAAGCGATGCAGCGACAATGACTTAAATTTGAACTCGGATAAAACCGTATCCATTGAAAGTAGTACTAATCAATTTTAGAGTGGATAGCAGTGTTTTGATACGAGTGGCGAACAAATCAATTAAAAATGTATCAATTACAAAGTTTTGAGGAATTAAATAGACTTAAAATGATCAAAAATGCTATTTCAATAGAGATTCTTAAATTGGTGTATTTTGGTTTGGTTGCAAAGATCGACAAGAGCTCGCATCGCTAAATGTTACTATACAGGAGAGGAATTCTATAAGACTCACCTCGGTAGGAGATACGTATATTAAATGTTAATTTTAAAGCGTGTTAATTAAATATATCGTATAATTTTTGTGTGCGTATTTATAGTAATATTTGTTTTTTTGAATGCCTATATTTATGGAGACAAAAGTTAAATATAAAAGTTTATTGGGGACTTACAAACCTTTAATTTATTTTAATTTTGTATATACACGGTGTTTTATTTTTGAATTCTATACAAAATTCTAGACATATTCTGTGTATAATGTCCCATACCTAAGTCTAACCGTTTTTGACATTTTCAATTTTTTATTTCAAGACTTATAATATCTGCCAACGAATAATATCCTGTTGCCATATAAGTTCAGTTAGTGTAATTGGCTATGACGGCGTTTAAACAAAACAAATGCTAGAATGTTGCTTGCATTTTATGTTTACCAGAGAAGAAAAGATTGATATGTTAGAAAGTTACATATCGAACAATAAAAACCCAACGCTACTTCGAGATTGTATTAGAAAATTTCCATTAAGGAGGCGCCCAGAAAAAAAGATCTTCCACAGGATTTAACTCGAAATGCGTCAAGTCATTTTTCACTTTCAAAATTAAAAATTTTAAAAAGATTAGACTTAGGTATAGGTCGTTATGCACAAAACATGTCTAGAATTTGGTGTAGATTTTAAAAATGAAGTAATATACTGGGCGATCTATTTAAGATAAGAAAGTTGATACTCACACCCACGAAAAATGAAACACTCTGTATATCCAACATTAAAATAAATTGAAGGTTTAATACCCCAATTAACTTTTGTATTTAACTTTTTTCTGCATCCCCTATAGTTTCTGAGATAAGGTGGTGTCCCAAGATAAACGGCCCACCCTATACAATCTATGTGTCGTCATTGACTGTAACATTCAAATGCGAAATAAACAAGAAACAATACACTGGAAAGTGTTATTGTTACCCGAACCGGAATTTTTGGAAATAATAGTCATTAAATTAAATCCATTTAAATTTATGATCTAATTACGTTTAAAAAAATATTTTCTTATTTGTTTTTACGTTCTATTCTTCTGTAAGAAATAGAAAGATAGAAAATGTCAAGATCGCGATGCTTACCTTGCGGCCGATGATTCCATTTTCATTAGACGATGTCGACCATATCGACCTGGAAAAAAGTCGCAGTGATTATATCTCGAAAACAATAAAACGGTGGTTGTGTTACTTAAAAAAACCAAACTCAAATTAAGTGATTATTTCATCCGAACGCGGTGTCGCAGTACAAAAGCTTATTAGATTAACCGACGGCGCCCTATTGAAACAATGTCGTCATCGTATTTTTGGGCACCCTCCCGGTCCTGTCCCGAATTTAATTAAAAACCGCAATTTAACGCTGGCCCGCCCGCAGTATTTCACCTTAAAATTTTGCGCGGGTTTCGAAGAACCCGGACTCACACACACATACATAAGCGGATTATATCTTTTGGATTTATTAGTTAATCCGGTCACATTACACATAAAAATAGTAGTAGTGGATAGAGCTCGATTTTGGAGATCATGGGTACACCAAGTTATTGATGTAATGTATAATATACAACAATATAAGGGGTGTTTTTTTTTCGATGTATAGAACTTTAAGTTAATTTTATTTATCCGAAAGATAATCTTGTGGCATTCCATTTTAAATATGATTTCTGGCATATGACCGCCACGGCTGGCGCGGATGTAGTCCAATCTGGACGTCCAATTTTCGATGACTTTTTCCAACATTTGTGGCCGTATACGGCGAATGTTGTCTTCCAAATGGTCAAGCGTTTGTGGCTTATCCGCATAGACCAATGACTTTACATAGCCCCACAGAAAGTAGTCTAGCGGTGTTAAATCACAAGATCTTGGAGGCCACTTCACAGGTCCAAAACGTGAAATTAGGCGGTCACCAAACATGTCTTTCAATAAATCGATTGTGGCACGAGCTGTGTGACATGTAGCGCCGTCTTATTGAAACCACATCTCCTGGACATCATGGTTATTCAATTCAGGAATGAAAGAGTTACTAATCATAGCTCTATACCGATCACCATTGACTGAAACGTTCTGGCCATCATCGTTTTTGAAGAAGTACGGACCAATGATTCCACCAGCCCATAAAGCGCAGTCAGTTTTTCTCGATGTAACGGTGTTTCGACATACACTTGAGGATTAGCTTCGCTCCAAATGCGTCAGTCTTGTTTGTTGACGTAGCCATTCAACCAGAAATGCGCTTCATCGCTAAACAAAATTCGCTTATGAAAATCGGGAACAACGGCAATCTCGTTTTGGGCCCATTCGACGAATCTACGCCTTACTTGATGATCGTTTGGCTTCAATTCTTGCACGAGTTGGATTTTGTAAGCACGTAAACCAAAATCCTTCCGCAAAATCTTCCATAAAGTGGATGGACACAGATCCAATTCCTGTGCTCGATGCTACGCTCTACAGCAGCAATAGCTTCTTCTGTACGCACCGTACGGCGTGTCTGGGGATGCGAGTTATCAATAAGAGTAAACGTGGTGCGAAAACGTTCCGTGGTTGATCAAATTAACTGCTCTGATGGACGATGTTGTCGACGATAAAATGGACATAGTGCGCGATACGTATTCCGCACAGAACCATTATTTTCGAAATAAAATTGCACTATTTGCAAGCGTTGTTCAGGCGTGAGTCTATTCATGATGAATTGCCAAACCAAACTGAGAATAAATCACTTGACAGCTGTTAAATCGGTCGCCATCTTGAACAGTAGTACCAACTTAAAGTTCTATACATCGAAACAAAACACCCATATATATATATACATCTAACACCCACACACATATACATCTAACCTCTTCGCAGTTGACTTCAACAAGCGTATTTCCTTTGAAATGTTATTTTTCACTTCTAAGATAATCAGCAAAATCCTCACATCTGTTGATATTTAGGTTATTTTAGCATTTAGTGTGTGTGACAGATATACCACCCTTCTGCTGCGAAGCTTGGAGCTTTGAATACATACCTAATACGTGGCTCTGCCGTTCCATCATCAGATCAAACACAACCGACACCGTCATCATTGGCGAGACTAATGCGCATATGGTATTTAAGGCTGCAGTACACTCCTAAGAGAATTTTCCGTATGTTTATTGCTAATGGGATTTCGATCATGCATTTGTTCGTATGAACTTATATCACTGTCTTCGAATCGGCTATTCCTCAGTAATTGCACCTTTCAGTCGAAAGTGTATTTCTTATAATAAATACGAGTATTCACTCGTAGAGAGAAGTACTATTAAGAAAACGTAATTAAACATTAAACATTACTCGCCCTTCTCGATATTTGACATTAAATATTAGTCGCAGTTAGCAATGACTTCAGGTTGATATAATAAGAAACATAGGGTTTCAGTTCATTTGTTAGAGACCTATCCAAAAAAAAATAAATATCAAAATCAAACCATAAACAACGATTTTACGAGGTGTGGAGGTTAAGTGAGACACATTGTATGAACTGCTTGACTAAGTAACTCCAAAAAACTTGCAAAATCCCGAGATCTCATTGGGTGTAATTGATCCCTACGAAAATTATAAGAACCATTTTTGTAGATAATTTCCTTCTCGAGAAACCGAATACTTTGACTTTGAATCATATTTCTTCTGGTATAGATAGTGGTGGGTGGAGCGAAACGGCTTCCCTGGGGCAAGAAGGTCCACCTCAAAAATTAACCAATTTTTTTTCGTTATTATAATTATAAATTCTGGTTAATTGTACATTTTTAGCCCTTTGCGTAATACCAGGGGTTAAATATTCTTTAAAAAAAGCTGTTCCATATTATTACAACCGAATCATGATTAATTTATTGAGACTGGTATTTTTTGGATAATTCTTTGGATTTTGTCTAAACCCGGAGCTTTCGAAAATCTTATAAATACCACATTTTTAATCCATAGAAATATAGTTACGAATCCGTAATGTTCTTTTTTTTATTAAATGCCTTTTAATAAATAATTGTAACTATTATATAAAACATTATAAATAGAGGAGACTGGGGCACGACGCTCAGAAGCTTCGCCAAAATTTGGGTAAATTTAGTTAAAGTTAGACAAACAAGTCGGCCCTTGCCCCTCTCTCCCCTATATATATTTTTTTAAGTTTATAATAACGTCCATTAAATTAAAATCCATAGCCCTCAATTAAATAAACAACAGGTATCGTTAAAAAATTAAAATTCCATTCTTAACTTACCACTTAACCATACAAAGAGTGAATCAAACTTTAAATAATAAAAACAGAACGAATTTAACGAATAACTTATACTTATCCCAGAAGGTAACAGATTTAAAAAGAAAAAAATATATTTCTATACTCTTGTTCTTCTGAGTTTCCGGTAAAAACTGCTTGTAGCTTATGAGGCACGTATATATACAATGCTTACGTTAGTTTTTGGCTCCGTATCGCCGAATTCCCAAAGCATATCAACTTTTTACCACAATAAAACACTTTCAAAAAAAAATATAATCGATGAATCTCAGAAGAAACTCTCCCCTGAATTTTATTTTTTCAAAATACTTTCCACTGCATGAGCTTGTCGAGAGTTTCTTCTGCATTTCTTCTGCTTATAAATATAATAATAATAAACCAGTGTAACCAGAAAGTAAAACTTTGTATCTATAGGTACACTACAAGAGTAATTAATTTATAAAATAACTTAGAACTACTGTGCCTGATGTGTTAGAAATTCGTTTATAGAATAGAAACAATGTTCTTCAAAAAACTTTTTTGATAATTGTTTGAATTTTTTAATGGAAAGCCGTTTAACATCAATATTTTTGGACCGAAAAAGAGTGTTTGCAAAAATATTACACAAATCTAGATTAAGTTTATTTTTTGTGTTCTACACAACCTCGAGCTTAATGTTCAATACATTTACACACAGCCTTCTTGACACAATTTTCAAAAGTTAAATGAAAATTTTAAGAATAAAAAAAGAGAAAAACCGTCCTATCCTAAGTAGAACCGTCTCCTGAATCAAACAATGCAAAAAATATTGGTTGCGCCATTTAAAATTCGAAAGTCACTGTCGTTTCCGCTCAAACCGGAAGTGCAACCATTGACTACATATTGTCAAAAAATTGGACATTCAGCCTATATTAACCCTTCCAAATTTAAAATCGCTATCTCAAACCGTTAAGCTTAAGTCGCCTCCCCTAATGTCCCCAGCAAAATCCAGCTCTGTCGGAATTTGCGTTATTTGGGTGCATATTGTCCTTTCAAAAAACATACAAATTCGCGAAAAGAACAAGAAACTCGAGTAGCGACTCCATCAACGCGGCCTGATTGAGGGCTGCCAGACGACCATCATTAAGTTGACAAGCGATCTTTGTGTGCGTTAATGAGGAAACGGGTTTCGATGGGAGTTAAGCGGGGTATGCAAATGCAGGCGCACGTTCATTGGATTAGGGAGTAATATAACGGGGACGTGACCGCGGTTTTTGATCTGCCCCCGCACCGATGAAGGGTAGCGATCCCCAAAACCCCGCATTCCCGGCTAATAGATTTAACGTGGTCGAAACAGTGTTATTACGGGATTACGTGAGATAAAAATGCCCGGGCATTAGTTATTTAGTTTGCTAATCGGCTCTAGGATTTTGGGAGGTTGATCAATTGCGTCCCGTTTAGCCTTTTCCAGCATTTATATAATAAGTTTTTTAGGCTCTTCAGACAAAACTAAACTTGCGTGCATAGAAATCGGCCCATTGTGAACTTTTGACATCAATTCCTTTTTTTTTACAAGAACTATAGTATTCAAAGGAAAGAAAAACATTTTTTAACTTGACCATGTACATTAGATCTGATAGGAGACAATGGGTATTAGGTCTACAATTAAAAAGTAATTAAAAAATATTATCTCCGTAAGGCACCAGGAGATGATCAAATAGTAGCAGAAGCTATTAAATTAGAAGCAGAAAAAAAGTTATTTAATTCAAGTTTGAATCAAAGCATTATCCTCAAAACCTAGAACAACACTACACTACACAAAAAATGAGATCTTGAAAATTATAGAACCGATAAGCCTGTTGTCTCAAATTTATAAATGATTTAACAAAATCATCACAAAATTAGAACTGAAAATAGATTTTTATCAACCCAGA